CGAGCACCACCGCAAACGGGCCCCACCAAATGAGATAACCAGCAGACGGGCCGCCCACACCCAAACGAGCACCACCAAATGGGATGAGATAACCAAATGGGATGAGATAACCAAATGGGATGAGATAACCAAATGGGATGAGATAACCACCACCCAAACGAGCCCCACCAAACGGGCCCCACCCAAACGGGTCCCACCAAGCGGGCCCCACCAAATGGGCCCCACCAAACGAGCCCCACCAAAGGGGGCCCACCCAAACGGGCCCCACCAAACGGGCCCCACCAAACGGGCCCCCACCAAACGGGCCCCACCAAACGGGCCCCACCAAACGGGCCCCACCAAACGGGCCCCACCAAACGGGCCCCACCAAATGGGCCCCACCAAACGGGCTGCCCACACCGCAAACGAGCACCACCAAATGGGATGAGATAACCAGCAGACGGGCCCCACCAAATAGGGGATGGTATAACCGGCAGACGGCCCCCACCAAATAGGGGATGGTATAACCGGCAGACGGGCCCCACCAATTTAGATAACCAGCAGACAGGCCACCCACACCCAAACGAGCACCACCGCAAACGGGCCCCACCAAATGAGATAACCAGCAGACGGGCCACAACGGAAACGGGCCCCACAAAATGAGACAACCAGCGGACGGGCCGCCCACACCCAAACGAGCACCACCAAATGGGATGAGATAACCAAATGGGATAAGATAACCACCACCCAAACGGGCCCCACCAAACGGGCCCCACCCAAACGCGCCCCACCAAACGGGCCCCACCAAATAGAGGATGGTATAACTAGCAGACGGGCCCCACCAAATGAGATAACCAGCAGACGGGCCTCCCACACCCAAACGAGCACCACCGCAAACGGGCCCCACCAAATGAGATAACCAGCAGACGGTCCACACCGCAAACAGGCCCCACCAAATCAGATAACCAGCAGACGGGCCGCCCGCACCCAAACGAGCACCACCAAATGGGATGAGATAACCACCACCCAAATGGGCCCCACCAAACGGGCCCCACCCAAACGGGCCCCACCAAACGGGCCCCACCAAACGGGCCCCACCAAACGGGCCCCACCAAACGGGCCCCACCAAACGGGCCCCACCAAACGGTCCGCCCACACCGCAAACGGGCACCACCCAAATGGGCCCCACCAAACGTGCCCCACCAAACGGGACCCACCCAAATGGGCCCCACCAAATAGGCCGCCCACACCGCGAACAGGCCCCACCCAAACGGGCCCCACGAACCCAAACGAGCACCATCAAATGGGATGAGATAACCAGCAAACGGGCCCCGCCAAACGGGCCCAACCCAAACGGGCCCCACCCAAACGGGCCCCACCCAAACGGGCCCCACCCAAACGGGCCCCACCAAACGGGCCCCACCAAACGGGCCCCACCAACCCAAACGGGCCCCACCAAATGGGATGAGATAACCAGCAGACGGGCCCCACCAAACCCGCCCCACCCAAACGGGCCCCACCGACGGCAAACGGGCCCCTCCCAAACGGGCCCCACCAACCTACTTTTTCCAACCCACACCATTTGCCACCCCAACACGCAACAAAAGCCCATAATGAATAACCCCTCCCCAACCCCCGAACCACCGCCGAAATATTTTTTTTTTTCCGTCGACACGTACATTGCAACGTGTCGAACACCCCCGCTTCAACAAAATCACGAAAAGGGGGTGGGGGTATTTTTTTTCGGGGGGTCATAGGGAACCAAAAGTAACCCTCACTGAAAATTAGTTTGTTTGTTTTTTTTTCGGCGCGCAGGCCTAGGGACGCCGATGCGCCGCCGGGAGCCGTTTTCAGAATTCCGAATGGACCTCCCTTTCGGCCGCCACGGGTCCGCTCGGACGCGGCCGCGGGGCCGCGGCCGCGGATTTGTCCGCGGATGTCCGCCGCTGAGGGGGATTCATAGCCAAGACGAGTGGCCAAGGCTTTTGCCAAGATTTTGTAAGTTACATTCAATAAGGAGATCGGACTGTGACTGCTGGAGCGAGGTCTTGATGGCTTTCCAAATCTCCCTACCCTTTATTAGCTTTGTCGGGGTTTCGTGGGCAGGCCTTCGAGAGGTCAACATATCACTAAAATATGGCTACGCATACTGACATATAGATTTTGTTTTCTTGGCCACATCTGCCTGTGCGAGAAAGGGGTGTTCCAATTCCCTCAGCGTAGTATGATACTTTGGCGGAAGGAGACATCGAAACATTTCTTTTGTCATCCTATCGGCCTGTAACATCCCTTTCTCCCTTGCTCTCCTCACCCAACTTTCCTGTTTCTGTACTTCTAACTCCTCTCACCTTCTCATCCATCTATCCCGCTTATGTTCCCAATAGGTGTCCGAGATGGGGTGTTCCCCAAAATATCCTTCTCCCTCCTGTACTTTTGACCTGCACTCGTCTTCCTCCTTGTGACGTCCATCTGGTGAGTCCAGTCGTGGATTCAACACCGTGTTCCAGTCGCCGCCCATGGTCAAGTTTTCAACCTTTGGGAGCAAGTGTGGCAATTCTGAGAGGAAGGAGAGACGATCTTCGTAAATCGCCGGAGCGTATATTGACATTACTGCCCAAACCATTTCTTCATAGCTGAAGCCTGAAGGAAACCCAAGCCCAGCTCCCCCAAAAATCCTCTAAATGGTCTCAAATCGTCAGATTCAGTTTCCTGTGGATTAGTATTGCTACCCCCCCTCATGAATCCTGTGTCGGCGCCCAAAATTGAGGCCCTGTCCCCCATCGTTGGATTTTCTTTACTTCGTCTTCATTTAATTTAGTTTCTTGTAGGAGCGCAATACCTATTCCTTCATCATGTATCCAGGTTTTGAATCTTGATTTTTTATGGCGGCCATTAGAGTGTTTGAGACCACGAACATTCCACGTAGCTAGCTTGAGCTTACTCATGTTGACTGCAAGTTTAGAGGTTTCCGAATCAGAAGTAGGCTGAGTATTCATAGTAGAAGTAGATGGAACAAGAGTAGAAGTAGAGTTAACTTCCGAAGAAGAAAATGCAGCAAAAGTAGACGGCACATGGAAAGGCTTTACAAGAGCTATATGTACAAACTCACCTTCCTTGCGCATGCGCACCGATCTGCAGAATTTGTTAGCACTGAGAAGAGTCACAGGGGACTCGCGCGTCTCATCCAACAAGACGGTACGCTCGTTCCCCTTGGCATCAAGCACCACGAACTGATTGTCCGCCCATGTGGTCCTTAGGCAGTGAGCCTTTAGCCAGCCCAAGCCAATGACCGCATCGAACGGACACTTGTCCATGACATAGAAGTTGAGTTCATGCGTGACAGTGCGGTTTTTGTCAAAGGTGATGCGCACACCTTTGACGACATGAGTGGAAGTGACAACCTCTTGGTTGCCTACCTGAATCCGACAAGGGTTCTACAGTTCCACTTGCTTCATACCCAGGCCCGCCTTATGAATCCCGTTAGGAGAGAAGAAGTTAGTGGTTGAACCACTGTCGATCAGCACTCGGATGTATCGGCGGTTAATGAGAAGTTTAAAGAAGGTCAACTCCACACTTCCCTGGACACGGCGCTGCTGCTTGAGCTGCAGCCAATGTTCCATGTGGGCGTGGAAGTCTACTTCCTTAGACTCCTCCCAAGGCTCAGTGTATAACACTCGGACCGTGTCAGCCTTGGAATCAGCATCAGATAGGGCCTCAAGAGCTAGCTGTTGATCAAATTCAGGCTCCTTGGAAGGGCCTGCAACTGACTGTTCAGCTCCCCTTGCTGTAGAGAGGGCTGATAACTCCTCTACGCCCCTTGCCTGTTTCCCTGAAGTCGGTAGCAG